CCTGAGCCACTTCCAGCCTCCTTTCTGCCCATCCCTTAGGAAAAAAAAAAGAACTGGAGAAGCTGTAAAATGTGCTGTTTCCCAGCTGTGTTCAATCCTGACATTTCACTGCTGAATCTGCTGGGCTCTTTTAAAAATTTCCCCGTTTTTCAAGAGTTACCAGGGCAGTTCTTGGACAGGGAGAGCAACAAATGGATTTGCAGCGGGAGCACAGGCACAAAGAACAGGCATGAGCAGAAACTTTGATAGAGTTGTGCTGCCAAAATCCTTCTCTGGGTAGTTTGTAAAAGACCCTGAAGCTCATCTGATGCTGATTAGCTTTTGAGGCACAATTGCTACAATGAGAAAACTTTTACTGATTTGCATGTGTTGACAATTATTCTTACAGTAACAACCTGATTATACCAGTGTGTTAGTCCCAGATATGGTGTATTATTCCCTAGCTTTAGGAATAATTCTGATAGTTATGGCCTCTGGCTTCATTTAACCATAGCCCTAATCACTTCTGATTAAAACATACATAAATGAGTTTGTGGATTTTTTAATTTTTTTTTTTTTACACCTCAGCTTCTAGAGGGTTTTTTGCCCCAAAGGAAAGAAAAAGAGAAAATTAGGTTTCAGCACAGAGAAATGTTTGAAAGACTGTACAATAATAATGAAAAATATTTTCATTTCCAGAACAATTTATTTAACCACATGATTAATACACTTTTATTATTTTGATTTGATTAATTGTTGTTGGTTTTGAGATTGGATTTATTTTATTATTTGAGTTGCAATGACTCTCCTGCTACTTTCTTCATGTTTACCAAGGGATTTACACCATTATTTCTCCACACAAATAACTAATTAGTCAACCATTTTCTCATTTGACATTTCTCAGTGGCGGGGGACTGCAAACTGAATTTCGTCTAATTTTTCATTCTGTTTTGAGGGTATCATTGGAGATGGAGGATTGTGATGAAAGCCAGCCTGTGAAATCCCTGATGTGACAAACAAAACAAAGCTGAGATTAGGAATCTTTTAGCTCAGGTTGGGGAGATGGGTGCATGGTTTTCTGCAAACAGGAGCAAACCCTTCCCTCGAGGCCAGGAGCCACCTCCAGGGCCAAAACCTCTGAGGTCAGGGCCAGGCTGGCACTGGAGTTGTGCTGCCTGCTCAGACAGGATTAGGGTTGAGTCTTAACTTCTTTTTGTCATGTGTGAGATGGTATTTCTTGTTGGGCCTCAGATGTTTGTTAGTTCTTATCTGTCTCACAGACCCTGAGTTCTACAGCACTTCACTCCAACAAAGTAAAAATGGAGCTGTATCTCTCTCTTTACAAGGCCTTTTAAGGACAAACTGTCTAATTAAGAAATGACACCTAAATTATTTTTACTTTTAACTTACTACCTGTGGCCACAATGGGGACTTTTTTATCCAATTACACAAAACCACCCAAACCCATGGAGAAGAAGGTGAAGAAGGAGCAGCCTCCACCCTAAAACCTCCATCTTGCTTTATACCTATTACTATATTCTAAACCTTTAAACTCTGAGTTTTCCACCCTGGGGTATCACACATCTCTCCACACCCACAATCCCAGTCCTATCATTCAATTTTGGAAGCTTCTCCACGGTCTCAGGTCAAATGCAGTGTTCTCTTGGGAGTCAGTGCCTCTGTATATATACATATACATAAATATATATATATATATATATATATATATATATATGTGGTTTTTGATGGTTTTTGCCCTCCCCAAAGCTCATAACCCAGCCCAGCCTGAGAGCAGGAACACCTTCCTTATCTCGTGGCCAAAAAGCAGAAAAATTGCTGTGTGTCCCCAGTAATGAGTGTGGAGTGTGGTTCAGCTGGAGAATTGCTGTGCTGCAATAAGGTTCCCTTTCTGCTCTTCCTGGTGCCATATGCTGCCCTAATTAGTGCAGGCAAAAGGTAATGAGAGCACAGTGGAGAAGAGGGAGCTCCATGGGAAGCAGGCTGATCTCTAAAACTCTGCATTATGTCATCCCTATATAGAGCACAATAGAGTTTTAATCCAGATTTTTTATGTTGCACTTATATTTTGGGATGGTTTTTTATCTTTCTCTGAGAAGCACCACTGCTTCCCTGGGTGTGGATATTTGTGCTGTAATTGCTGCTCCACTCTCTCCCAAAAACCTGTGAACCTTTTCCCAGGGGTAGTGCCTCATGATTTTTCAACCAGCCTTGATGTAAAGCCGTTTATAAATTTTAAATAATTTTCATATATTGCTACTCTATTTTAGTTCTGCACCAAGTGCAAATTTTGATTTGTGCTCTGCTCTGCATCCATAACCTCTCTGTGTCTCTTTGGAGCTCTGTGTTTCAGGTGTGCACTCGAACATTGGAGCAGACAATTTCCAGTCTGAGGGAGTGGTTTTTGCTGCTCTCTTTGCAATATCTGGCTCAGACAACACCAGGACACGAACCCAGAGCAAGGAGGTCACAGTCAGAATATGTTACACCCACTTTCCCTTCCCTCTTGTCACACAAGCCCTTGGGAGCTGAGAGCTGTTGGCACAGTTAAATTTTTTTTTTTAAACCCACAATGAAATAAACTCCATGAGCAGCATTAAATTGCACTGCTGCAAAACAGAGTAAGACCAAACTAAAGAGTAATTGGCACAGTAGAGAGCACAGTTCTGTGCACATCTGATATAACACTGTGCTCAGGACTGAGGATACAGCAGGTACATGTTTAACCACCTAAAAATGGTCTGATTTTAAAAGCTGCTGTGCAATCAGATCCCACCAAAGTCAAAAGTGGGAAGTGAATCTTTGCATTCAAAATTTCTATTTTTATCATGGTTTTTATGATGGGTCCATTCTAAACCTTTGCTAGCAGAACTCTCAAAAAAAATGGAACAAAAACCAATCATCCTAACTGTACTGCAATATGCTCTTACAATAAGTAAAAATGTGGTGGGAAAGACAAAGTGCTACTTTCACAATATCCTGTGCCAAATCACAGGTTATACAATCCAGGTTTTTATTTGCACAGCCAACAGTGCTTTGTAGAGCAATCAGGGAAGATAATACAATCCATTTTACATTCTCATTACTTTAGAAGTGTTGAATCTTCTGAAATGGTTTCGGGGTTAATTGAGAATTTGCAGTTTTACAATAGACTAGGAATTGTTTAGGCTGCCCTTGTTTCATATTTTTGTGCATACCTTTGTTGCAAAGTTATAAAAACAACAATAAAAGAGGAAACAAAGAAGTGAAATGAAATGAAATGGATCTGCATTGTTTCTGTTCCAGGCACTCATTTTTGTGGGAGATAAAGCTGAGGTATTGATTAATGCTTAAATGGCTATTAAGAGGAGGGAGGTGTTGGGTTGATGGAACATCTCACTGTGCACTAATGCTTTCCTTTGATTCTTTCCCACATATTCCCTAGGGGATAATTTCTGCTCCTGGGGAAGCCAGTGGTGAAACTCTGAGTTACTTTTTTTTTGCCAGCATAAATAAGCCAACTATTTTCCCTATTTATCTCTTTTTCTGCATAAATTCCAAAAGTTTCTGGCTTCCAAATCTGCTCTTTGACTTATTTTAACACCATAAGAGCTCATAAAGATGTGTAATTTTTCCTGGCTGTATATGCTGAAGTTTTGATGCTCTCTCTGGCTGCCTGAACACCTGAATATTCCTGTGCACCACAGTCAGGCTCAGCAGCCCCCAGGAAATTTCATTTTTCAAGGCTGAAGCAAAGTTATGATAAAAAAAAGCAGCAGCCTGTGCAGGGCTGTCTGTCAGCATTTTGTTAGAGGCTGGAATACTTTTTTTTTTCATCCCCCCAACAATGTGTTGTTTTTGTTTATTCCCTTGTACTTGCAATGGTACTTTTAATTTTATTTTTTTTTTTGCAACATTATCGCACAGGACTTTGAGGTGAATTCACTTTCAGGTGAATGCAACTGTGAGGCACTGCCTTGGCACAGACTCATTAAAAAATAACAGTGTGACAATTACTGGTAATTCAAAATATCTGTAAAAGCTTGTATGGTGGTTTATGACCTATAACAATTCACTACAAAAATGATAAACAGGTTATTATCCCAGGTATTGATTATATGATTGGAGTTTTGGTTTAAAATATTAACACATTTAATTGGAGAGGGGATTGGTATCAGTTAATTCAGCTCTGGGTTGTTCTTTACTTAATATATTTAACTGAGTAGAGAATTAGGCCCTAATCATGAACATTATTTTATTTATTGCTTCAGTCAAGTTCAGGGAAGTTCCTGGTGCGTGAACTCCACAATCTCTCTAAACATTTCCAGTTTGGGGGGCTGAATATTTGTGCTGATTAAAGGGAAAAAAGCACACCAGAGAATTTCATATCAGGGCATCTTGGAGACATCATTCAAACTCTGATTGAGGCAGCGTGGACGTGGTTGGATTTAATCAGCAGAAGGAGGAAGCTCCAGATCCAAGAGTGTGCAAACAGGGCTGGGTGTAACCACCTCCCCCAGACTTGGTGAATTCATTGTCTGACTCTCTTCTTGCTACCATTCCCCACAATTTAGAACATTTCCAGCTCACCCAAAATAACTAATGGTAAGGAAAAAAAAAATAAAACCAATAAAACATAAATTAAAAGTGCAGTTTCTGGTCTGACTGGAATTTGTAGTCTGGAAAAAGGAGGTCTGTGATAGGATTCATGAGGTCAATGTGGGTGCAGAGGCTGTTGGAAGTGTTCTGGCTGTATAACACAGCAGTAGGAAACAGGTCCTATATAATGTCCTAAATATTGATTTCTCTGCTAAACTTTGGGACATATATATATATATATATCTCCAAACCTCTAACAACACTGAACTGTCTCTAAGGCAAGGCCCAAGCTTAAATTGTGCTTTTGCAATATGAAGAGACCCACTGTGAAAGCCGCTGAGTGCCCAGGCAGATTCCTTTGCAGCAATGCATTTGTTTGATGTTCAGATCTATAATTTGCTAACAACTTCTGCACTTTTGTTCAGGTATTCAGTGTACAAGGACCCAGCAGGGTGGCTGGAAATCAACCCCACCAATGGCACCGTTGGCACCACGGCAGTTCTGGACAGGGAATCTCCCTTCGTGCACAACAACGTCTACACTGCTCTGTTCCTGGCCATCGACAGTGGTGAGTGACCACAGGGAAAAAATCCTGTATTTCCTGCTTGAAATGCTCTCTTCTGAAAGCTGCATGTGATGCCTCAGGTTTTGGCTTTTATTGAGGAGATCCTTTGAATAAATCCCTGCTTTATTCTTTAGCTCTGCCCAGCCTCTGCTCTAGCTCAGCCTTCCCAAGGCATCACTTGTGTAAAATTAACCACGTGCTGCAGCACTTCTCTGCGTGGCCACCTAAATGTATGAGAGACCATTCTGGAAACCAGAAGAAAGAAGAACTGACATAAACCTCAAATTTATAACAGTTTTAATTTAAGTTTATGCCTCACAGGCTTATGTCTTAATGCTAGGTGCAATTAGTCTAGAGACATTCTTGGAAATGTAATAAATCATCCTAATCAGAGTTAATTTCTTCACAATATTTGAGCAGTCAGCATGCCTGGGGCACTTAAATACCAATAACAACTCATCCTTGATATGCTGGATTATAATCTATTCAATACAATGACAGTGGCAATAAAAACACAACTAAACTCCTTGTTAAGATGCAAAAATTTTTGCATGTTGTGAGTACTAAAGTTCCTCCTGTCAAATAGAATCCAAATTAAGCTATATAGGGAAAATTCAGGGAATGACTTCAGAGCAGAGGAAGAAAGAGAAAATTCTGAATGTTCCAAATCTCCTGAGCTAAAGGCACAAAATAAATAAAAGATTTGCCTGTAATATAACAGCTAATATGCTAACACTTTTTCACAGCTGCAGCTGGTTTAGCCCTGGTGATGAATTGTAAAATGCTCTTTTTAAGAGAGTAATTCTACATTTTTGCAAGCACATGACTCAGGGAACATTTGCAGGGCCTGACAGGAGAAAGAAAATATTGCCTTAAGTATAACAGAAAAAAATTCTGCTGAGAAGATGATTTACTCATATATTAATGTACATATTTTCCTTAAGAAATTTCTGGGGCAAAATGTAGCACTAAACATATTTCTGTCTTTTGCTTGCTCTTGGATTTTTTTTTCTATTTTTAATGCATCTCAAAATCAGGTGCACTGGGAAATGTCATCTCACCAATGAAAGCAAAAATTTGGGATATGACTGAGGGTTACCCAAAGGACAAAGTTGTGTTTTAAAAGTGAAGTCAGATAATGTCACAGAGAATAGATGGAGAAAAGAGATGAGTGGTTTGACTGTGGGAACCAGCCTGAGTAATGTGAATTTTGGGGCACACCTTTATGCTGCAACTTAGGCCTTGCTCATTTATTCTAAACCCAGAACTTCACTGCTTTTAATTCTCAGATTTCTTTTTTTTTTCTATTCTGAAAAAATAGGAAGGGGAAGCTGTGCTGAACAGCAGAGCAAAGGAATCCTTTCACTTGGGATTCTGAGCCAACACCTGATTCCAGCCCCTGTAATTGTGTTTATTTGTGATTGTGCAGCTCTGTCAGTGCAGGAGTTCATCTTTTCCAGCATTATTGACTCCTGTGAGTGCAATGATTACAAACCACACGTGTACTGTCACGCTGAGGGGTTAATAATGATCTTTTCCTACCATGAGCAGCCCTGCCACACGTGGGAGTGGGAATAAACAGCAGAATTTAATTAGCTGATATTAACCTTGTGCCCTGCATCACCTCTGCATTAATTACCAGGCAGCTTGGGGAGCAAATTCAACTTAGAGATGGGCTGGGAAGTGGGAAAATTTCCTGCTGGCCTGGAGGAATGGCTCTGGCTAAAGCAGATCTCAGCAGGTTGGGGTCTGCCTTGCCCCTGCAGGGACAGCTGGGACTGACACTATCCCTGGGAAGTGTTCCCAAATTTGTTTCCAGGCTGACACTGTGATCTAGCACAGCTGAGAGACCCACTTTGTCCCTGCAACCATCAGAGCTAATGTCCAACTCGAAATATTGCATTAGATGAGAAACCAAATTGTGGGAAAATTATATTAAATGAATACAGAATTACTTCAGGACTCTAAAAGAAGATTATGTTAACTTAAAAAGGGGAAAAAATCAGATTGAACATAACTACCTGCACCTCTTTAGAGCAGCATTGTCCATAGACTGCAGACCTCTCTCTTCAGGTTAATAAGTGGAGCCTGTCTAATACCAGTGAATATGCCTGGGACTTCTCAGTGAGAGGGCAGCCAAAAACAGGATTAAGAACTGCCAAATGAAATAGGGTAATAAAGTGAAAATTTAGAGGCATTTCCAATAGAACAAGTAATTTGCTTGGACTAACTGACTTGTGGTGAAAAGGAAAGAGAGGAAAAAAAGAAATGCTTTAGCAGAAATTCTTTCTTCAAAAGCATTCAGTGGAGCTTTTTATTTCCTTTGGCCTCTCAGCTTATCTCTGAATCAAATCTGAGATGGCACAGGCACTGAGGAAGTTCTTAGCTGCTACAGGCTTTCCTTCCCTTTCCTGGAAATAGAGAGCTCAGGTAATGCCCAGGGCACTGCCCAGCAGTGGGAATTGGCATCCAGAGCAGGCACTGTGAGATCTGTGATAAACTTTAACAGAATTTATAGAGAATAACTCTAAAATCATATAAAACTTTGTGCCTTAGCCATTGCTGAAGTGCATGAGCCATATTCTAAAAGATAAATACAAATATTCTTTAGAGATCACAGCATTTACATGCTTACAGAAAAGGTTCTGTTGTCCCATTGTGTTCCACGCTCACCCCTTTATGAAATGACCTTACATTCGAGTGCTGTCCTGGGGGAGGAGTGGAGACAGCTGCAAACCAACCCCACAGTGATCCTTGTTCCTTTTTCCATCCCCTTTTGCTGATGTCAGTGGAGAATCTGTCACCAGCTCCATCTGACTCCTGGTTATTACACTTCAGTGCAGGGAGCAAGTGCCAGGGCATTTTCTTTTTTATCTGTAAATTGTTGGATATTTCTGCCACAAGTAAAACCTGGAGCTTTGTGCTTGGTGTTTCTTTGTATAAATCTGTCACATCTTTATCTTTTTTTTGGGATATCACTTTACCAGTAGGACAGGAACAATGAAAGGGGCATAGAAAACTGAGTCACTCTGCTGCAGGAAATAAGTTAGTTCTGTACGAGATTCTTTTTGACCTTTATGATATTATTTCTCTGCATTAACAAATTAACTGCAGCTAAGGTGGGTAAAGTATGAATTCTGTTATTCCTGATCTAAACAGTTCCTGTATCTTCCCAAACACACTTGAAACAATGTGTAACAGCAAATTTGATGGAAACTGTTAATTTATAGATAATAAATTTTGACCTTTTATGGGAGTGTATTACACTTTAAAAAGGACTTTTTGGAAGAAATATCCTAATTTTCTCAGTACATTTGATTTCAGTAAAAGGTCAACGTAGTGTCTTTAGAATTTGAAAACTTTTTATTGAAGACCTGTGTGACCACAGAGTCTCTGGCCTATTAAAGAAGAAATTAAACACTGGTAGGAAATACCATGCAGCAGAGTTAGCACATTAAAGTGTCATGAACTGTGTTTAATCTGAGAATGAGCTGATAATGGGGCAAATTCAGATTTATGCAAACTTGGGAAACATCAGAGGTTTCATTCAATTAACAAAAGTGCCAACAACGGTGATCATTTTATGTAGCACTCTAATCACTGAACCCAATGCAGCATCACAGCATTATTGGGAGCTTTTCTGCCAAAAGGAATTTTGCTCAATCCATGAGAGGCGAAATCATTTGTGTTTGATAAACCTGTGTGGAACAGACCTTCCAAATGTGCTCTGTGGTGTCATCCTGCACATCCCATTGCTCACTGAATTTGGGATGAGGATCACAAAGCAAAACACCTGCATGGTTTTCTCATACAGCCATGCTAGAAACTCTCCTGGAAAGGTGTTTTTTTGGGGTTTTTGTTTGTTGTTTTTTTTTTTTTCCTTTTTGTTGTTGTTGTTGTTGTGGTTGTTTTGTTTTGGTTTTTTTTTTCATGTATTCTGGGAGTTTGAGTCACAATCTAGAAAAAGTAAGAGAGGATGAAACAATGGCTGGAGGTGAAGCTCAAAAATACCTGGAAAATGTGTGAAATCTTTAAAAGATAAAATTATTTTCTCCATTTCCTTTTAGAGGCATGAATAATAATTTCCCTTTACCCAGATTTATCTTATTTATTAAAGAATCACTCTTTTTTGTGGAATTAATGTCCCATTTTGTCACCTTTTTCTATCTCTTTAAAAACAACATCTTTGGGTATTTTTGGTCTCTTGACTCATGGAAAACCCACCTGTGTTGACAAATAATGACCCACTAATCTTGCTGGTTGGATTAATGCAAAGTGAAGTTGGATTCCACGTTTTTTGGGGGTGGTTGGATGCCACCCCAGTGGGGTCCCACCTAAAGCCAGGGGGAAAAATTCTCCCAGTGAGTCTGATCCAGTGTCTGATTTCGCCTTCCTTCCCTGCCATTCCTGTCACCAGGGAGCTACTGAGGCAAGAACTGGGACTATAAGAGCTTCAGCTGCATTAAACAAAGAGAATAAACATCATTAAATGTAATTTTAATTCTGAGTTCAGAGTTTGAGTTGAGCTACACTGGCAGTTTAAGAAAAAAGCAACTTGGACCTTGCTTCTCTGGCTGTGGCTGAGCTGTGGCACTGTCTCACTTTTCCTGAGCAAAATGAAGAAATGGTGAATCAGGCTCTAGTTGTCACTTTTTCCTTCTTTCCAAAGAGCAGTTGAACCCAAGCAATCCTGAATCCCATTTATTGTGCAGGTCTTGGCACTGCTAATCATTAGGAAGAAAGCATATTATTCTGTCCTCTGTGTGATGAACAGTAACACACAGCACTAGAAAAAGCTGGAGAAACAAAGAGATGTGTGGCAGTTTGCAATTAGAACTTTCCCTGGCATGTATCTAACCTGTCTCCTCACTCCATGATGTACATAATTAAATTACCATAGATTGATTCCACCTAAAACACGCTATTTTTTGAAGAAATCAGGCAATTAGTTACCATGGCAACCCAATTAAGCCAGTTTTATACCCCTTATCTTAATTGCTGTATTAATTGAGAAGAGAAAATAAATTGAAGACTCATCCTTTTCTTGCCATTTAAAATTTCAGTAAAATATGAATTGCACGCAAAATATTGTTTTAATTTGTCATCATGGACTCATGATTCGAAAAAGAAATGAGAATGTTGAAAACAGTATTTAAGACGGATGGCATGTGTCAGTAGCAATTTGATATGCTGAAAGAGCTGTGCTCTTCTGAAATGTAATTACTCAAAACCAGGAGCTGCATATATTATTTGAGGGGATGAATGAAGGGTTGTAACTTTGGAAGAAGCCAAGAGCATTGTGGATGTCCTGCTATTTTGTAACATGCAGATATTTTATTATTTTATGTATTTTATATAGACATATTATATGTATATATACTATATATAATGTATTTTTGTAGATTATATATGAATATATAATATATTTTATATAAATACATTCTATATTTACTATATATAATATAGTAAATATCTATATTAACATATTTTATATATATAAATATTAACATATTTATATATTAATATATTTATAGATATTATAAATTTAGTATATATAGTAATTATATTATATATATAGTATATATAGTATATATATATACTATATATATAGTATACATCATATATATAATATATAGTATATATATACACCATATACTATATATACTTTATATATCATATATAAATATATAATACATGTTTATTTATATATCTATTATATATTTACTACATTATTATATCTTATAGTCGTTTATCTATTATACTTTTATACATTATATTTATTTTATATTATTGTATATTATGTTTACTATATTTTATTTGCTACATATATATTATGTATTACATATAAATATATAATATAGAATTTATATTTTATATATTTTATATAAAATATTTTTATAGGTTAATATAGACAGAAAATGCATAGGAAATTTGAATTCATGGGGAATTAGGGCCAAAATGTCAGCACATGGCTTTGAGGAGAGCAGTTCAGGGAGCAGCACACCCAGGTTTTGGTGTCCTCCCCCTCTCCTGGTTCCATTTGCTTTGGCTGAACCGTGAATGGAGCTCACCCTGAGCATGGAATGCAGAGGAACGGGATCCCTGCCTGCAGGATCCCCACTGCTGCCAAAGCACCGAGCACACACAGATTTTCTGAGCAGAAAAACAGCATATGGAGGGGAAAAAAAACCCGAAGTGAGGGATGAGACAGAAATTTGTGTTTTGATTCTCAGAGCAGCATCATTAGAAAGCATGAGAAGCACAGTTCTTGTTTGAAGAGCAGTGTGGAAGTGGTGTGACTTTTGTAATTCTGGTATAATTCTGTGCAGCTTTTCATGAAGATTCAAGCATTAAGAGTATCCAAAGTATCATTTTCTATAACATTTATTTTCAAACTAATTTTTTTCAACTGGAGGTAGCAAGGTGGTCTTTCATGCCGGCAGCACTAAAATCCAATTTAAAATCCACAACTCCTGGTAACAGCCCCTTTCACTGGAGACTCAGTTCACCACCAAGTTTCCACTTTGTTTCACTGTGAAATTCTCCATCTTTCAGCCTCTGTTTCAGCAGCTTTTACACAAACCAGTGATGCTGTTTCACTCCTATGATTGCCATGGTATATTCCCAGATGTGCCACTTCTGGGAGTTTGGAATTCTTTCTGTCCCCAAGGGCTCTAAGGGCACTCAAATATTTAAAGAGTTCATCCTCAGTGGGGATGGCCACTTCTGGTCAGTGGCAAATGGGATCAGAACTTGTTGGAAAACTTCCCCCCAGGATTGTTGGACCCTTTAGGTCTTGCTCTGCTCATTAATTCTGCTCTCAGCCACAAGGTTTGACAATGCAAATTAAGAGTTATACTTCGGAATTAAAATATTCTATGGGTAACTTTCCTTTCAAAATCAAAGGCATCTAGAGATCATGGGGTTTTGAATTATTTCAACAGCATAATACCATCAAATTTATGAAAGTCACATATTCCCAATGGAGGAGTTGTGACCATTTTTGCTTGATTCATTTCATGTTACATTTTTATGACGTGTGTTAACAAGCTCCAGTTTATGACCCTGACATTTGCTTGCTTTTCTTTCGGAGGTCTTCATAAATCAATGAAAGATTTTTGTTTAAATTATTATAAATAAAGCAAGCAGAGAATAAGTCATTGAACTGGACAGAAGCAATTTCCTTTCACTCTTTTTTTTTGTGTGTGTGTAATATTTGCCCAGCCCCTGAACCATACAAAGAGTGAAACATTTGCACAGCAGTGAGAACGCAGCCATATCTGTGTGTGACAAAATAGCAGGACATCCATAAAGCTGTTGGCTTCTTCATTTCAAAAGGCAGATTTAATATTACTGACTTCAGAGAAAGATAAGAAGGGCAGTGCATAAGACATTATCAGTCCAGTGTGGAAATAATGCATTCAAAATTAAAGACAGCAGTTTAATTAAGTGCATGAAAGGCTGGCTTTTATGATCATATTTCAAATACCAGAATGCCTTTTCATCCATTCTGCCGTATGACTTTACTTAATAATATATCAAGAACAAAAAACGTATGGGAGTCTTTCTGTAAATTCAATTAGTCCAATAAAAAGTGAAAAATAGTTTCTTTTTCATTAAAAAGAACTCAAGCCTAACCCTTCTGATGACAAAGTGCGAGATGAGAAGGGAGGGCAGGGCTGGAGAAAGATGAACATTCTGCCTTTGTGATGCATTTCTGCTCACAGGAAACAGATGAAGTGTCACCATTAGTAACATTTGTTATTGAAAGGACTAATTGCATTCTGCTGCAGGCAGCAGTTTATCAGATCCACACCACGGGGTACTTGCTTCTGCCTTGGGATGCTCTCCCAGCACAGCAATAATTCAGTTTATTAAAACATGCTGTGGATAAGTTTCCTTTCAAAAGCCTGGGTTGTTGGGCTGCTGTGGGCAGGGGGATTGTGCTGAAGGCACCTCTTGCAGGGCTGAGCTGTAAATGCTGTGGAACCCTGTCCTGGTGCTGCACAGGTTAACTGCAGCCTCCTGAATCCGTTCTGGGAAGGGTTTGTGTTGGAACCCTGAGAATTTTAGACTTTCTGTACTGACAGACACCGACCCCCAAGAGAACACCGCATTCGACCTCAAGCCATAAAGAAAGCTTCCAAAATTAAATAATGGAACTATTATGAGTGGATAGTTTGAATAGAAGTATATAATATCACATAGTGGAAAACTTAGAGTTTAAAGTTTTAGAATATAGTAATATATATATATAAAACAAAATATGTATAGAGTTTAAAGTTTTAGAATATACTAATATGCATAAAATAATAGAACTATTGTGAGTGTGTGGTTTGAATAGAAGTATATAATATCACATAGTGGAAAACTTGGAGTTTTAGAATACAGTAATACATAGAAAACAAAATAGAAGTTTTAAAGCAGAGACTAGCCCTTCTTCTTTACCTTCTTCCTCATAGGTTTGAATAGTTTAAATTAAAAAAAACAAGTCCACATTATGATTCAAAAGTAGTTAGTAGTAGTAGTAGATTAAAATAAAACTAATTTAGGTGTCATTTCTTAATTAAACAGTTTATCCTTAAAAAAACCTTATAAAGAAAGAGACACAACCCCATTTTTACCCTGTTAGTAAAGTGCTGTAGAACTCATGACTTGTAAGACTGTTCCTGCTCAGGGAAGTGCAGGGATCACACTTCCCTGTGCTAAACCAGAAAAAAATAAAAAGAGGAATAAACAACCCACAAGTGCAGCATTTCAGATGAGACCCCGCTGAGTGCCAGGCACAAAAAAGGACAAAATGTGCACTCAGAAAACTTTGAGGCGACTTTCACGGGGTGCCCAAGGGGGCTGCAAGGAGCTGCTGAGCCGCAGGCAGTGTGCGGCTGGCTCAGCCGTGGCACAGCTCTGCAGACTGGGAATTATTGCCTCTTGGGTCAGCCCTAGGAACGAGGTGCTGGTCCCAGCAGGCAAACTCTGCCTTGCCAGCTCCCCCAGTGCCACCAGGGCTGGTTTGTCACTCACTGAGCCTTGGGGTGGTGAGTAAACAACACGCTCACCTCTGCAGCTGGCTCTCAGGTCGGGGCTGAGGCAGGCTGGCAAATCACTCTGGAAGGTTTGAAAGCACAGGGTAAATAACCCAGCTCACTTCCCAGAGATCTGACAGGTTTCAGTGCTGCTGGCAGGACTGCCCGTGGCCCTCAGGGCTGTTAGGAATGATCTGGTCCTGTTGTGCTTCTGGGCACCCACCTCACACCTGGTCCCTCCCTCCTTTTCCTCTCACCTGTCTCGTTCTTCATTCTGTTAATACTGTGCTATCTATCTGGGGGATGGTTCCCAGTATGTTTCTCTCAGTATGTGCTGATGAACAGATTCTGTTCCAGATATCTATTCATATCCTACTCTCATTTTAACTTCAAAATATTCCTCTCCCAGAGGTTTCCTTAGAATAATTTTCCATACTGTAGAGAATCAGACAGGCTTCATTCTGAAAATCAGCAATGAATTTACAAGAGTGACTCATCAGGTTTTTTAAGCAATAATTTCCATATAAAAGAGGTAAGAACAATAAAAAATTATTTCCCTTTGCAAGCCTGCAGGTGCAAATAGAACAAGAGTTTATGGAAATGTGATTTAATAAACAAATGTTTGGTTTTTTTCCTATAGGTAACCCTCCTGCTACGGGTACAGGAACTTTGCACATCACCTTGGAGGATGTCAATGACAACGTCCCATCCCTTTATCCAACACTGGCAAAAGTTTGTGACGATGCAAAAGATCTCAGGGTAGTGGTTCTAGGAGCATCAGACAAAGACCTCCATCCCAACACAGATCCATTCAAATTTGAGCTCAGCAAGCAATCCGGCCCAGAAAAGTTGTGGAGAATCAACAGGCTTAACAGTAAGGCTGTAACTTGGATTTTTGTCTATTTATTCTTCCCACTTCTCCATCCCAGGGTACTTCCCCTGAGGCACTGGGGGAATGTAGGAGGGGTTTGGCATGAAAGTTCTGTAGGATGGACCCTACTGAAGCTGCTGCTTTGCCCTGTGCTGGGGCTGCTGGACCAGTGGGACATCAGTTCTGGAACCTGAAACTCCTTCTCTTGTTTTGCCTGAACTTTCTTCTCCCAGTTTTGCATTAACCAGGGTCTACTAATAACTGATAATTTTGTGATTACTGCATCTCATGGCACACAATTGTTTTGCACAAGGTGCACAAGGCTTTGCTGTAGGGACAGAATGGAAATTTTGCATGGGTTTAGCAATGTAATTGAAAAACTTCCTAATTTTAAGTATTTAAACTGTTCACAAATAAAATCTTCCAATGCACTGGGACCTTACACAATTGGTAAGAGGATCATGAGATTGCAGAAGGTTTGTGTGTCAAATTGTGGGCACAAAATACAATATTTCTTCTTAATGTAGGTTATTCCTGTTTTTTCTGGAATGTATTATTTTTCTCTGCCACTCTCCAATCTTTTAGTTCATGTCATAACCTTAGAAAAATCTAGAGATGGATGTGATGGCTGTACCTGGCTGCAGGACAAAGGGGAGGAGCTGTTTTCTTGGCTGTTCTCCAAACATCAAAGCACCCCTGTGTCACACCCTGAAGGAATTATCACACCCACCTGGGTGCCAAGAGCTCCCCAGGTGGAGCAGGTCTGTGGGTTTGGAAGGGGCTTTGCTTCCCTTCTCTGCCCTCTCAGGGAAGTTGTGGAAGTGGTTCAGCAACTTTGCCTGTACTTCATAGCAAGAGAGGTTATTTTTTCCTTTGGCAAGTAAATTTATTATCTCTTCTTGTCATTTTGGGGGTGACGTGCGCTAGAATTTCATTAGTATATTAGCTTTCACAGTCAACTTCTGCCAATAATTTACAGACCAAATAATGTAGTTAAACAAAAGGGGCTCTTACAAATCTTTCTTTTGGTGGGGCTTGGGCTAAGTTTGTAATTAGATTTCAGCCCATGAAAGAATTTAAGTACTGTTTCTTCCCTCCAATTCAGTTCTTTTGTCATTTTTCTTAGTGTATTCTCGTTTTCTTCCTGATTTCCATGACTAACTGGCATGTTTGATGTTGCTTGCAGACTCCTTCACCCTCCCAGGCAACCAACATGCGGTTAATTGTCCCCTCATCCTTTGCAGATACCCACGCCCAGGTCATCCTGCTTCAGAACCTGAAAAAGGCCAATTACAACATCCCCATCTCAGTGACAGATTCTGGAAAACCTCCTCTGACCAACACCACAGAACTGAGATTACAAGTGTGTACCTGCAAGAAATCCAAAATGGACTGCAGTGCAACTGATGCTCTCCACATCAGCCTGACCCTAATCCTCCTTTCACTCCTCAGTTTATTTTGTAAGTCTTTTGCTGAGCTGTAAGTAGTGTTGTAATGAAGTAATGAAGTGTTGTTTTTCTGCTCCTTGGTACTCTGCATCAGAAAACCCTCCAAGTGAGGAGTTAAATTCACACATTGATATCATAATGCTGGAATTTTGGGTTCTTTTTCCATGAGGGAATAACTGTGAGAAAGTTGGGGGAGGGAGCTTTTTCATAGTCAAAGAAAAATATAAATGGATGCCTGATTGTCAAATTAAGAAATAGAAGCAATAATTTTAAGAGGAATCAAAGGGAATCAGAGCTAACATATGATAAACTGAGAAGTACCAGCTGTAGTAGCAGATTTGTGCAACACTTGCTTTCATCTCTCCCCACTTGAATTCAATTCAAACCCAGAAAAAGGAGATTAAAGGTGTTCCTGCAACAATGGCTGTTCTGGGTCACCAGGAAAACAAGGCCTGCCTGCTTCAATCTGTTCCTCCACATAAAATGTGCAAGTGACTGGAACATGAGGAACTTATTTGAGATTCTGGGCTTAGAACCACCCAGAGCTGATAATCAAATGGCCAGGCTGGCTTGGAGGGCAGAGAAAACTGACAGGTAAAGGAATTTCTGCTGTTTCTGAGAAAGGAATTTTGTAAATCTCATTTGGAAAGCTAACTTGAATTGGAAGTGGAAAAACAAAATCCCAGAATGATTCAAAAGTAGGAATTCAAAGCCATGGAATCCACAATTTAAATTGGGTGTGTCCCTGGCTAGTCCTGTGACAGCTGCCAGCAAACTTTTTGATGCAGTGTTAGTTTTGAATCCTTATCTGTTTCAAAGGAATAGCTGTTTCCTACAACTATGACAGTAAATCTGTTATTTAAGGACTATTACCTTCATCTTCTATTAACAGAATACATTGTAAAGTGACTTAAAACCTGAGCCATGGTGAAAGGCCTTGGATTCTCCATGAGAAACGTGCCACGAGGCAGGGGAGAGGTCAAGGCAGAGATCCTTTCCACATCTGAGGCTTGGATGCTTGAGCACACATCCTGTCCCTGATTTCTTCTCCTTTTATCCCAAAAGCTTGGCATGAAGGTCGTTGTGAGCTGGTACCAGCCCATGTTTGTGATGCTCTTTGAAGATGAAAAGGACTGTATAAATGCTAAGTGCAAATTCCTGTTCTCAGTCTCAATCAGTGACATCTAAAGTATCTGCTTTGGCTGGGGTTCAGCTGGGCTGGGTTCAGTCTCCTGGAACCAAATGCAAACTTCAGCTGTTAGGAGCAATATGTTAAAAATATTTGACAGGGTGTGACACTATTGCAGCAGTGATATAAATATGCAGCCCATTGATTCAAATATATCCTTGTTGCCACTTCATAAATGTTGCTGCTGCTACACTAGGCATGACTTTCACCACTGGAATTACTTCCTTATCTGATGGGATTTGCACTTGAACTTTATTTACACTAATTCATCTGCTCAGAATACAACGAGGTAGAGAAAAGCTTTTTGCTTTGCAAAGTTGCCATTTTCATGTTGATTCTTCACAGCCCCCACTAAGAAGCCTGATCATTTTCCTTAGGTTGAATTATAGAGCCAGTTTTAAGTATTGGTAAGCACTTTTTGAGTTGCTCTTCTTGGCTACAGGTCTTGTCCAGCTCAGCTGTGGGTGGAATACACCTCTAGGGCATCCCAAGGGTATTCCATGGCTGTCATTCCCTCTGGAACTGCTCCCCAGCCATGCCTGTTCAAAGCCAGCAAGCACCACAACTCCCCTGAGCATTTTCCTCAGGTGTGAACTGCACAGAGACAGAAAGGAAAGAGGCTGGGAGCCTGTTAAAATAATGTGGTTCTGTGTTTGAACTCCTCTGAAATGTGCTGCTATCACCCCGTTCCCAATTCATTTCCACACACAGATTTTTTATAACTGTGATTAGCTCCATTGCAACGTTTTGTATAGTCCAAATATTTATCAGAGTAATCAAAGATTATGATGCCATAAAAACAAAGAGAACTTTAGTGCTTATTGAACAGATGAAACCTCCCATTTCTAGTGGCAAGTTATGGGTTTAATTTTACCAAAAGCCCTTACGTGGCTGACTTTGCTCCCAGTGTTTGTATTTTATGAGGCTCTTGTTCCTGGGAGGTAAATCCTTCAGTCAAATGAACTTTGTAACTCATGCCAAAGTATTTCTTTTTGTATTTGACATCTGGTGTGAGGATAGATAGCCCTCTGAAAGAGCTGCTCGTGGTGAAAGAGCCCTGCATGAATATCTTTCCTGTAGAAAACATCTTGGTATTATCATTTAAATGGTGCAATTATTAGCTATACTTAGACTATGTGCCTCCTCCGTAAATCATGAAAGAAGTCAGATGTGGCAGATTTCTGAAGTGTCTGAGCACACAAGTGAAGAGCCTGATTAAAACTGAAATGGATGCAAAACCCAGCAGTTCCTCCCATTCTGGAGATATCCTACTGTGCTCACTATATTGAGGGATAATGGGATACAGACTGCACAGTTGCCCAGAAGCCTCTGGGAAGGTAGATATAGCTGGAACAAGAAAAAATTAGGAGTTCCTGGCAGCCAGAAATAGAAAATATGAGATGCCAAAACATATGGGCAGATTTGCACAACAAAACAATGAGGTGGGATTGAAAGATGATGAACACAAAGTTGATTGGAAAAAGGAGCATCTTTATATGTTTTGTATTTAACCTAATTTTACTGAGGTCAGGCTGGAATGATGGAGAGTGGACAGGCAGAGGAGTTTCCAAAGTTACAACAGGTAATGGTGACAAATATTGGAAAAGAATGTTGTCACTTGTCATTAAAGCAGACCCCATGTTTAAGATGAGACTTCATGTGGTGGCATTTTGTTCTCTGTCAGCTTTTCCTTGCCATTACTGGAGACAAGACAGCACCAAATGTTCAGACAGAATCCAGATTTTAGTAGCTCAGATTGAGGGGAAAAAAAAAAGAAAAAAAACCTGGGTTCCTGGTCAGGGAGGGGAGCTACAGCAATCAGTTCCTTGAGGAAGAGAATGAGTGGGGAAAGATAAAATGTGTCAGGATCATGTCTGGTGCTGCTCTGAGACTGTCCCTGCGTGCTGCAGTGTTCCCAAGTGACACAGCTAAACCAGCTCTGCTCAGAATTCAGCTACAAAAGGGATCTCACCACCACCAGAGTTACAAACAGGCTCCCCTGGAAGGCTCCTCAGTGTTTTCAGTGAGAGCAGCTGCAACATCCCACAAGGTGAGGGATGGCAAAGCAAAACAAGCAGAAAATAAATTTGTGCATATTGCCATAACAAAGTCAGCAAGAAAATATCCCCCAGGCCCTGTGGGATACTGAGAAAGAACCACTCTGGCTGGCAGAACTAAGCTTTAGATCTATTACAAATTATTTGTATTATTATTAGTATTTAAAGGAGTATTTGAATTCTGGGCTTTTGATTTTATAATAACTATTTCACTTAATTGCATAATCATAGAATGGTAATTGCATTTCATATCTTCTTTTATATTCTACCAACATAAAAGACCACGTTAGATTTAAATGTGTGGAATGGAGGGAATAAAAGAACAACTAAAGGCACAATAGTTGTGTCACTAATATTTTACTTAAAGTTCCTTGTTATAAAAAGACTGGGATTTGAACACTTCATGTTGAAAAAACCCATTTTTTTAATCTTTCTTGACTACCAACCATGAATAAGAAGCTTTTTTTTTGTTCACCTGGCCAGTGGACTACAAAGCTGTAAGTTGACTTGAGCTGAAATAAGTGAAGAGTTCCATTATTCTGAACAGAAAGTGAGGTGCAGATGAGGGGGGAAATGCCTCCTTAAAAAAAATTAAACAAGCTGGAGGTCTCTACATTGCAATTAATTTGCTAAAGTCAGGGTGAAAGGCCTCAGGTGTGTTTGAAAAACAGAGACTGGCACAGATGTCTGTGCTGCAATTGCTAAGAAGCCTTAGAGATACCCCTGAATTTCATTTCCTAGTAATTTCCATTAACTTTTCCCATTTAGTGCTGTCTGTCCCTCACTATATTATTTTTTTCTGATTTGAGGAATGCAACTACAGGGCCAATAGAGAAAATACAGGTGGCTTTTTTTTTTTTTATGCTTTGAAAATGATATGCTTATTATTAAACCACTACAAAAAAATTTTTAAAAAAATCAAATAATATGAAACTGGTGGGTTTGAATTTCCGTGGAGCTGGACAGGCAGAGTTAATCCTGCAGTGTTATCTCTCACCCAGCTCATTTCTCACAGCAGCAGCAGCCCCTGTATCTCTTGTTTACCCCATGTTATTTGTGCAGGAACATCAAATGGCTGAAAAGCGAAACAAAGCCTTCCTGAAAGGCACCAGAACAAGACAAATCAGAGCAGGTTTCAAATGCAACAGACCTTTAAGGTCACTGCTCTTTCCATTCCCTCTGCAGATTTGTTAGCTGCACATTCCCACTTTTCAGCCTTTATTTTGAATTTCTTGGCTCAGTTTTAAACAGTCAGGTTGCTTTAGGGCTAAACAATTGGATTTTCCAGTAGAATTTTTGAGTTTTCCCAAGAAAAAAAAGGAAAAAGTTCATCCCAGTTCCATCCAGTTCCGGAGAGAGCATCAGAAGAAGGGTTCCCCATAGGTGGATTTGCTAAAACAAATATTCTTGTTTCTTTCTTTGTTTTGTTGGTCAGATTTTGTTGTTTTCTTTTTACCTTTTAGGTTGTCTTAGCACATTTTAATCTTCTACAGCAATCTTCTGCTTTTCAGAGCAGTTTATTTTTAAATAAGTTTTAAAAAAGATCAGTTTAATTAAAAAGACTAAGGAAGTCTGCAAGATACATTTGCCCATTTCTGAGAAGTGAAATATCCCTATTTTGGCTAGACTTGCAAAAACTATTAAAATTGGAGAGTTTTGTTGTGAAAGTTGCTTTATTGAAATGGTTGCTAGGATTTTTTTTTTTTTGCACTTCTCTAATTTGTGCTAGAGCACAACTATGTAGGTACCTAAAATATCACCTAAAT